CGCGCCGTGGTTTTTGCCGGGAAAGGTCCTCCTTCAACAACTTCGTCGAAAAAGGACAGTGTGCGATTAACCCTTAGACCAGCAGCACTGGACTGATTGGGAGCAATGGTTGACCATCTGCAGTAGGCTAGGTGAGAAACGAATCCCGCGCCGACTCAACGGGAACAGTCAAGCGACGAAAAACGAACTGCACCCATTATCCGACGCGTCTGAAACGGGATATTGAGCAGTAGCCTACGTATGTTGGCAGCACGTGAATGGTGTACGTCAACCAATTGGTATTTGAGTGACGCGTAGCCGAAACCGATACGAATCCCGAAATAGAACACGATTGATCCGCAATGTTCTACGGTACTGAATTAGCGAAATCATTACAAATGTACAATAGAGAAAATCTCAAATATGCGGCCGACAGCATTCAAGCAAGCGAGCCAACTAAGATGTCCAGAGAGAGGCAAACAGTCGCTCACGTTCTCTAACCACGCAAAATTCAAATGTGCCGGGCATCGAATTAACAGATAAAAATTAATGTATGGTGTTTGTGATTGAAAAATGTCAATAGAGAAGCAACACACAGAGAAATCCATGTCACCATCTATGTCACGGGTTTGGAAGAAATTTTAAAAATTCAAAGTGAAATACACTCTGGTCGCGGCCGTTGGTGTCTCGATTGGTGAAAACTTCGTCCGTAAAGCTGTTGCGCACTCTACTTTATCTCTCTACTGTGTCTCCCACTTAGTGCTTTTTCGTATTTTCCATATATAACAGCTATATCATAACTTTTTCTTAAAGTGATAGCAGAAAATAATGATAGCATCTCAATCCAGGATGCATCTATGGACGAGGAAACTTCACCCATGCATCTTGACAACACGGTAATGAACACCTACCCGGTTATACAAAACAGGATAATCTTATCCCAGAGCGAGGCATTCTTAAACCTAGAGACAAAGTTGCCAAACTGGTGGCTGAGTTGGTAGAAGTGAAGGCACTACTTGTGGGTCTCTCTCCCCAATTTGAAGCCAGTTAAATGACCCTCAAGGTATCAGAATAAATCATCTTGGACACCGCCAATAAGCTGTCTGAGATAGAGGCATGCAGCAAACGCATGATAATTTGGGGGAAGTTCAAAGGAGAAATACCAGCAGCTAATAGGGTCAATAAAATCGTGGATAGCCTCAAATCACTGAGATTCCTAAACCCAATCAGGTGTTTATATTTTCGAACAAAAAACAAGAAAACGATCACAGGTATCGTGGTCGAGTTCAGCCAGAGCACAGCACTATGGCACTGTTTTGCTCAGAAGAATATAAACAAGAGATGTAAATATGTCACGAGGGTAGCCCGCGACATTCCTCTCCATGTAAAAAATCTGACAAAAAACCCAATGGCTTAAAAGTAGATGAGAAACCGCAAATGCATACGACAGTCAATCTCACGCTACTGGATATTGATAAGGTACCACAAATCTCCTCTCCCAAAATGGACAAGAATCTACGCTTCGCCCAATAGTCACCAGCACTCCCGACGCAAGCGTCACTGACATAACCACGGATGAACCGACCATAGTCGAGATACTCAACCGCAAGTCATGATCACCTATGAAACCAGCCCACGCTCCAGACAAGGAAATCAAAGGCCCAATCAAGGTGCCCATCTTTCGACCAATAGCTGAGATGAGGGAGATACTTGGTGATCCACCACCTAAGGCAATTTCCTAAGCTCATACCCCGGTGCAACCTAAATATAATTTTTTAAAACTAAAAACCTAAAAAGACAATCTCTCTACCCCAAAAGTCGAATTGTTGGCAAGCGTCACCAGGTCGCTCCCAGAGTAAAAGCCAAGACAGAACTGTAAGAAAAGTAAGACTCTCCAACCCCCTTTTCTGCCCCCAATAGACCGCTCTCGCCCACCAGACAGGGTGAAACCCCTGAAAAATGGCAAGCCAATTCCGCCAGCACGCAATATGGACGCCAAACACATGGCACCACCCTGCCACAACCTCCTAGGAGCAAAAAGGTCAAAATACCACTCCAAAACTCTCCCGAATCCTCTGCCATTCTACTAGACCTGCTGAAATACATAGTGAGCAGGTGCTGAAGTGCGTATCGATCAACTGCCTCAGTATAACTAATAAAATTCTTGAAATGCGACAATTGACGCGCGGTAAGTACCCACACGTAATAGCCACAACTGAGACTTGGTTAATTCGAGATATTAGATGGTGAATAATGATAGATGGTTTCACCTTGTTCAGACAAGACTCAAACCGTGGCCATGCGGGTGGAGCGGCCCTCTTCCTTAATGATTCCCTTCAGCCTGCTTTGCGTGTTTCCCTTCCTCCTATTTAATCAATCGAGACCCTATGGGTCAACATAGGCTTCCCGAGCAGGGATTCGCTCCTCCTGAAGGTTATTTATCGCTCTCTATCAAGCACACAGGAGGAATGTCAATCACTTCTAACTCAGCTTCGCGACCTTCGTCCCACCTGCACTTTCTCACACCATCTTATCCTGGGCGACTTCAACG